GAATTCGTTTTCGAGGACACCAGAGAAGGGGTATGAAAGAGGGTTGATGTAATACTAGCGATAACGTGGTCAGCAACCCGGGTAGAAGTGATAAATGCAAAGATGAACGTACGATCCAGAAGAGCCATCGCTTCATTTGGAATACAGGAATCATGTAACCGGTGTATACGATCATGTTGGGAACGAAGAACGTAGCCAGTCGGAACGCAAAGTCGAAGCTGCTGCACATAAGACCAAACGTCCTGAAGAAGCCCTGCATAGTCAGGTATCCAGAGTAGACCTAATAACGCATTGTGAGATCATGCAAGTCGGGCTCAAACGTCAACCAACTTACAAATAGATGGAAAGTGAAGAATCCACCAGCAGAGCGGGAAAGATGGGTCATGAAATAGATGATCAGGTTGTAGATCAGAACACGGATTGCAGAGAAGGGCATGTCCGCGAGAGTGCTAGCAATGGGGATTGCAGCAGGGCGGTAGAAGCTGTATGCCGTCTGTTTCTTCAGAATAGGACGTCCCAACATTTGCGCCGGCAACTGAAACGATCGTCAGATTCAGTTCCTCAGACAAACAGAGAGCCGAGCGCACCTCTCCGAATGTATCAAGTGCACAGTTCAGTAACGCAGTGAAAAGGACTGATCCACGAGTAAATGCACCAGCAGCGGTGAGAGGCTGATTGTAGAAAGCGCCACCAATGACGAAAGCAAGAACCTGTGAACGAGGGGTGAGCGTCCTTCTAGCACTTAAACCGCAGATATGAACGTACGATTGAAAGAGTGAAACTGGTAACGAGTTGGAAACGATCCTGCAAACGCATCTGGAATTGCCGAACTGCAAGTGCCTTGACCTGGCCAAGGAAACCGATGGTGTAGGGACTCTTCTTTGACACACCTCGCTTCTTGTCCGCGAGAACGGCCTGACGGAAGGACTCCTGGTCGCGCTTCTCAGTCTCCATGAGTATCTTGTACTTTTCGATCTCGGCTTCCAGATCACGAGCAAGAGGAGACGTCAAGAACGCGGATTCAAGGGCCTCGGGAGAGCAGGGGACATCATTGGCACTGCGACCTGGGGCAAACTGGCGTTCGTTGGGATCGGTGCAACCGGTGAGGTAGTCGGCGGTGCTTTGGCGGGGAAGAGACTTGAAACCAAGGTTCTCGAAATATTTCCTTGCTTCCGAAGGTGGACCGAAGTAGACTTGACGACCCTTGTCCAACACGATAACCTTGTCGAAGAGGTCATAGATACCCTCGCCCGCTTGATAGCTAGAAATCATGATGAGTGCGATCAATCGGCGGTCGACAAGAATATCACTTACAGCGTGGCAAAGGTGGTCTGTCCCAAAATGTCGGTCATGGCCCTCATAGACTTGATGAAATCAAGAGCAGTACTAGCGTCGAGTCCTCGCGTGGAATTGTCGAAGCAGAGCACATGAGCCCGTGAGGCCATCATCTCGGCAATACTGACACGTTTCCTCTCACCGCCAGATACGCCACGGACGAATTCATCACCAACATATGTTTTGGCGGTATGAGAGATATTCAGCATCTTCAGCAGCATGTTCTTAACCGCATCTTTGAACTCCTCTCTGGTCATGCCGGGCAGGCGACCTTTCGGGCCGGGGGCCTTAGTCGAAAGCGCGAAATCCAGGGTCTGGTCCACGTTGAGAGTGGCGATATGGATATCGTCTACCAAGCGGATCAGCGTTTGCCGCACAACCATCATGGGGGATTGCTTACCTTCCTGGTTGTAGAGGACCTCGCCCTTGTACAACTTCGCCATCTCCGCCGCATCAATACCAGCGTATCGCACATCACCAAAGACGCCTGCATAATCGCTGCGTTCGTTGGCAATGGCTTTGAGGAATGTCGTGCAACCAGCACCGGGGCAACCCAAGACGAGGCACATTTCACCAGGCTTCACGAGACCATTCTGAGAGTGCAGGATAGTACGTGTAGGAAAGCTCTCCTGCTTAGAGGGCAGGATCTGCTTGAGCAGACCCCATACAAACAGGAATGGATAGATCCAGAAAGTGATGGCCGCCTCTGTGAAAAAGATTGATAAGGTTCAGCTGCTTCAACAAGAAGCCACACGTACGTCCAAAAGTCTCAACGTATATCTGTGAACACGGAACGTCATGAGTAAGCTCGTCATCGTCAGTGGCTGTCTGAACCCACTTTGGATCCGTCTCCACCAGCACCCTTGACCTGAAGATTCTCCCAAGTCACTCCAACGTGCTTGTGCTTGATACCTGCGCTCTGGTTGGCATCGTTGGAAGACTTCAGATATTCACGAAGATCGAAGGGCTCGTCCGCCTTCTCTACGTCGGTGTCATCTGAGGACGAAGAGTCGCGTTTGTGCTTGTCCGAGCGACGAGAGAGGGTTTTGGAGAGTTCGTTGAAGGTAGCCTCTGCCTGCTGGACGTCGACGTGATGCTGCTCGGTGTCGGTCCCAGCCATGCGGACCTCGTAGAGGGTACGATCGTCGCCTGGCGTCTCCGCCATGAATTAAAGGAAAGGGGGGGAGTGACAAGGAAAGCTGATCCCTGAGCATGAGCGTGGTCGTGTGTATATATATGAGATGACCTTTATGGGTCAATTTTTAATTTTGGGCGACTCGGGATTAGCAATCCTCCCAATCCCCGTTTCGCCCGGGAAAAACCCAAGGGAAATCACTCCGCTTATGTTCCCTCTTTCTCGTCACAGCTCATCATATCCTCGATGATCTTTTATTTTCTACCTTGCTATGCCGTACCTGTGCAGCTTGGTGTCGGTTGAAGGCGGTCTTCTAGTACACAACGTTGTCAGGACCGAGTACGCTAGCTTGAATGGTGCAATACGACGACTATTATTTGGATTTTCTTACGGGCCATACCTTCCGGGAAAAGGATGATGCCATCTTGATTCTCCGTGTGCGGTTACCAAGTGCCAAGGAGGATTTGGAAGACCGACATTGTGGACGCTTGTGGGCACCCCTTCCTCTGCAACGACTGAGTCAATCTCCCCATCCTCTGCTGATGCCATCCTCATCGAGAACAACGATGTCGGTCCTGCGTTTCTCATGAAACCACGCCGCCTGGCAGTGGCAGTGGTTGAAGCTTATGATTAAGCTCCTCCAACACTCCAGAGCCAAACCCCACCAACGCCCTTGACTCACTTACAGTCGGACCCGCTGACGCTGAGTCACTTGCATTCCGGATATCATTGCCGGCCGTGCAACCTCGAGTTTCTTGAACCTTCTAAACCTCGCTTCGGTACGTAGTAGTATTCGGCATATCCGCGTCGACTTCTTGCGTGAGCTGACGATTCACGCTCGAAGTACTATGAATCGCTGCATGGCAGTATGTCGCACAAACACGCCTACTCTGTTATGCGTTCTCCAGTCAGTGGGGCTGAGGACGGAGACATGGAGCCAACCACATACCGGCGCTCCGTCCGAGAAGCCCTCCTTGATCGCCCAAACACAGAGCGCGTTTCCTCACAGCTTGACCGTGGCCGTCACCCATGGTATCCCTATCATTGCCAACTATGCGTCTTTCTACATTCACTGGGCGAAATTACATAGGGTAACAGGGAATACCCCGGATCACTTTTACTCCGAGTCGGAAGGCGCAATTGCTGACATGTTCTGGGATCGCCACCAGCTGGATATGGCCCACGAAAATCCCTGCGTCAGTTTGTCGTCGAAAGGTATGAGGACGTGCTATCATTATCGGAAATGCTTACGGAATTACCGGTGCTTTCTTCGCCCCTAGCTTGGCGTATGGAGGGGTTGTAGATCCTCTCCAAGAAGACTGAGGAACCAGCCAAACCCACTTCAAACACCGATCATGGTCGGGTTTGAGCTTGCATAAGTCAGTAGCCCGGTTCCGTGGACTGACTCTGGTTGTTTGCAGGATGTTGTCACCGCTACGTTCCGCTGAATCATGCCGCTCGAGTCGTATTGGTAACAGGAAGGTGCCTCGAGGAAGGTTCGTTTCGAACGATCTGAGTCTAGACAGCTCACTGCACACAGGAACTTACTCCACAGCTACATACTTTCATCTCGGCGGGGTGACGAGTACCACTTCCTCGAGGCGGACTTTCAAGCGTCCACTCGGTAATTCTGCTCCTGGATGGTTCGGTATCCACATCCGTGCACATTCACAATAACCTCTCATCAGCCCGCCCCGTGGCATGCACACGGAATCACTATGGATTTCAACGTCAAGTCGACCCAACCCTTGATATATTCTTCCCTCTTTGTCTCATCACAGACAGTTGTCTCAGGCAAAAGCGACCAACTAGAACCCCGGCAGGCACATCGAAACGATGAACAAAATCACCGCATGCCGGCGCCGCCATTCTATCCTATCGCAAAGTCGAGCTCCAGTCAGCACCTCGATGTCCTACTCGGAAAGACTCTCCGAGTGTCTCTCTCGTCCAAACCACTGTTCTCAGCCTGTCATCCTTAATTATATGCATGATTCCTCGGCCGTCTACGTCTCTAGGAGAAAACACAATAACCCAACCCGTCACCCATCCTATCAGCACATCGACTCGGGCCCGGGAGTCTGTATCGGGGGCTCGACCTCGCTGCTTCACTCACTCGCTTACACCGGCACCTCTCATATCGACTGCACCACCCACGACGAATGGGCCCGGGACACTAGGACACTGGGATATTATTCCGTGTCGATGATTCCAGGGCCATACGGCAATAGCGGCTGACGGTTCTCCGTCACGTTCCCGGGCTCAGTCGCGTGGGATACACGGGTGGGAGACGGAGATGATCTTGAAGGTGATAGTAGTCTCAGACAGGCAATGTTCTCATGGAATGTTTTCACCAATCAGTATGTATGCATCATACAGCACTGCTTCTATCGATACACGGGCCGTGTTCGAGTTGTTTCGTTCGGTCTGCGAGTCGTCATGAGGAACCAGTCAGACTTGAAAGTCGTCCATATGAGTAAACGGCCACTGCACATGGCATACGTACGACGTCCTTGAGAGTTCAAAAAAGAAATGCCACCTACCCGGGTTGAACGAGTGACCTTCGCATTTCACATTCACGGAATACAAGTGCGACGCGCTACCACTACGCCAAGGCGGCAACATAGTGCAATAGGTGTCAGGGCAGCCCCGTTCACGAACTCATCTCCGGTGAAAAGGCCCTCACGGGAGATGGAATAGTTTCGCTGTCGAATGACTACGCCGTACAAATGCGATAATCGGTAAAAGGGCAGACTGAAGGGCCTGAGAGGTACAAAACAAAGAGAAAAGTAAAACATGTCCGAAAGCATTCTCTCCGAATCATCAGCTTGGGAGAAGAAACGATAAGACTGTGAAACGTCTACACAGAGAGAACAGAGCTCACGGCAACCTTAATCTTCTCCGTCCGCAGATAACACGACCGGGTCGCGAGTACTGGTGCGCTTGCGAGAACGCTCCTTGCATCTTGCGGCACTCGCAGCGACGGTCTTCTCCAGTCCGTAAGGTTCCTTCGCGGTGCGAAGGTCGACGGAAGTACGCCGAGCATGCTCTTCAGAGTCATTAGCAGGCGAAATGTCATGGGAGAATCCGTTCATAACTTCCGATCCAACGATAGGAGAGTCCGCCGACTCTGAATGGGAAGGCTGTTCGATATTTTGCAAGAGGTCGTTGAGGGAAGCAGCAGAAAGAGACGGCTGTCCTTGAGCCATGCCCGCAGCAGTTGGATGTCTTGATCTCAAGACCGGGCTCTCGAGTATATCGCTGATATCCAAGGGTTTCTCAACAGGAGCAGGATCAGACGGAATAGCTGGCGGGCCGCCCCAGAACCAAGGGGACTCTAGTCCCGGAGTAGTCACCGGAGAAGAAACAACGCTAGAGTTAACAGAACGTCGACCATAGAGAAGCCACTTGCTGTATTCCGTCTCTTGAGACGAAGGGACCGGTGCCGGACCAGAGAGGCGAGAGAAACTATCATGAGGGAGAACGGGGCTGTGAGACACAGAAGAGATAACGGGAGTGTTGCAAGGCGCGAGAAGAGCAGAGGGACCAGGGAGAAGTCGGTCGTAGAACGTCTGGTTTTGCTGCGTCATGAACGCTTTGTACGACCCTACAGATTCCTGGACGCCTTGAGCGGGACCAAGGGCGTTAGCGAGATACTGATAGTAAGCTTCGCGCTGGTCTTGTGGGAGAGGTTGCTCGTACGAAATCGGAAAGACGGTATCGGATCTTGCAGGTGCGTCAGAGGGAGGAGAGCTAGGCTTAGAGAAATTGATATCGGTAACCCAAGTAAACGTCCGAACAGCGTGCTCGCGCCGATTCCAGTCGACGGGGGAAAACTGAGAAACTTGGCTTGAGTAGTCGACCGCATGTGAGATAGCAGGTGGCTCGTTCATGCAAGGATTCATTGGCAGTGGTCCATCGAAGAAGTACTGTATCGGAAAGGTGGTTGGCTGAATCCCAGGTTCGTAACCAGGGAGATCATACGATGAAGAAGGCGTTAGAGGCATTAGAGGAGTCGTCGGTGTGCTGGTGCATGTCGAGGAGCTGTCCGGAGGACAGTTATCCATCACTGGTGAGGCCACAGGAATGTTAACCTGAGTGAGCCGTTCCTTGATGGGGCGCTGTGGGAGACACACGCCAACACACAGGCATCAGACCACGCGTCATTGCCCGTTTTCTACGCATACAGGAAGGTTACTGACCGGAGGACGCGGCCGAAGGACCTTCCCTTCGTGCTCCACAACCTTCAAAGTAGCGCCGTCTTTTTCTTTAGAGGAGACTCTAAGACCCTTGGTATGATACCAGTCATAGATATGCCTCCTGTCGATGTTGTACTTTTTCTGGATCGCCTGACGAGCCGTGAAAGAAGGCATCTCCGTGTCCCCTGGGGTCAGGAGGGACTCTAGTTCTTTGACGAGCTCAGGTCCGAGCCGGCTTGCGAGGCTGGCGGGATTAACGCGTCTGCGGTGACCAGGAGGAACTTTGAGAGAGCTATCAAACTGTTCTGAAAGAAGAGAAGGAGATAATGAGAGAGCAACATCCCCGACGCGTCGTAACTGGTGAGGACGAGTGTTGTTGGAAGAACCGCTGGAGATGGAGCGAGTACGTGTCGTTGCTGGAGTGAACATTGAGAACGTGAAGTCTTGAGTCATGGTCGTCGAGAGTCGGGGCTGTTTTGCGAAAGAATGTCGTTGAGGAGGTTGAAAGACAGAACGGGGTGCCATGAGTCCGAGAGGCCTATATCCAGGAGAGAGCGAGGGACCCCGGAAACGACGTGCCACCTGCCGAAAGCAGCCTCAACAGGTCGTGGCCAATATAAAGCATGGAAGGACAACATCGCAGGAGCTGTGAACGTATCATTATCATCGACCCCCTCCAAGATACACTAAACATGCGGCGGCCAGGGTCCATGTAGCATCGCCTCTATCATAAATACCGCATCTCTCACCACGTCCGCTTCACAACTCTCTCCGTCAGGACCTCTAGCGCACTCTTCGCGTCGCTATCGGGCAAGAAGGATAACACCTCTCGAGCCTTATCAGCATGCGCTCGTGCAAGATCTCGGGTCCGTTCCACCCCAGACGACCGACGAACGAGATCTCGAGCCTGCGATTGGGGTTAGCATGAGGGTGTTCTAAGGACGTGAAGGTCACGTACCATCTCTACATCTCCTGATTCCCTGAACTTTCGTTCTATCAGGGGACCAAGCTCGGGGTGTTCTTCCCATGCGAAAAGAGCAGGCCCAGTCGCAAGACCCAACTGCAAGTCCGCACCTCCAGGTTTGCCGAGCGTACCCTCAGCTGCTTCATAGTCCAAGATATCATCTACGAGCTGTGCCATGGCATGGCCTAATTAGCCTCAGAAGTCGTGACAAGCGTCGCTACTTACCTGGAAGGCAATACCAAGGTTCCTTCCATACGCATACGCGACCTCTTTCCAGATTTCCCCTTCCCGGCATCCACCTAATACCACAGCAGCTCTCGCACCTTTGGCCATCAAGGTCGCCGTCTTCAAATACGTCTTCTGCAAGTAGATATTCCAGTTATCCTTGCTAACGCTCGATGACGTCTCCCCCGTCTGGTACGCCTGGCCATGTACAGTCTTGAGCTGCAGGATCTCGCCCTCGACCAAGTTCGCGATAACACTGGCAATCAACTCGACCACCTCGTTGTCCCCGAGACGGGACAAAGCTGCTGAGGTTCGTCCGAGAAGAAAATCCCCGGCCAACACAGACATCTTGTTGCCAAACGCAGCTGGAGCAGACGCAGCCCCCCGTCGTAGCGGTGACTTATCAATGACGTCGTCGTGCAGGAGGGACGCGACGTGGATCATTTCCACGATCTGGGCGAGACGTATCTGCGTTGGAAGCAGTGTCGGCGTCGACATGAGTTGAGGGACGGCGTCAGGGGGCACCGACGGTGGTGTAGGGGGGATATGCGGAGGTCGGGGAGGTTTCAGTGAGAAGCATTCTGAAAACGACGCGGTGTGGTCTGCCATGCTGGGATTCCAGTCGTTGAGGACGTCCGGACGCGTCAATGGTCGGTCCAACTCCTCCGTGCGTCCTCCCGCGCCTTCACATTGCGCCGCCCAATGCTTTTCGTGCCATCCGCGCCCCAGGCCGTTTGTTGCCTGTGAGAAAAGCAACACGAGCAGCGGTCGTAGCTGTTTTGAGGGATGCAGGAAGTAGTATTTGGCAATCTCCGTCAGGGACGGGTGTGAGGACCCAAGGAGGTTGAGTAACGTCTCTCTAAGATGGTTGAGTTGGGGTGCGAGCAATTTGTATGGGTCGGGACGCGGTGTCTGGCGCGGTGTCTGTAATGACGAGTCGGCATTTGGCAAAGGCGGGACATGGCTGAACGTCGGTTGCACGGAGGAGGGTTTTGACAGTTCCGACTGCTGCGGTTTCGTCTTGGGTGCTAGCACACCGTGCCCACGTCGGTGTGTTGCAGCGGGTCGCCAGTGCGCATGGGAAGAGGTTCCGGCGAGGTTGTTATGAGGAGAGATGCGAGCTCTCGCGACAGAGCATCGTCGCATGACCAGCAAGGACCGTGACCGGGGATAGTGTGAAGAAAAGATGGTGGAGGTTGGGGGACAGAATTGAGTCGTCGTGTCGCCCAGTGGTCGGTCGGGACGAATAGAGCGCTTCCGCCACCACCTTGATCTCAATTTCTCAATATCAAACACTGGAGATCGAACTCTTCAGGGCACTAATAGTTTTGTGTTCTACAGTATTCCTTGTCTACCACAGCGTGAAGAACGTCCTTTTCGTTGGAAGAAAATGAACAGAAACACATCCAAAAAATTGCCGACAAGGGCCGACAGGAGACGTCATATACAAGCGCCCAATGCTGACTTGCTCGCTGAACCTGAATAGCGCGTGTATGAGGAGGATCGGTATTCGATGAGCCCTCCCATGGCTATCGAGCACGCTCTGGACGAATAGGAGACGTCGGTGCTGCTGATAATCGACCCCGGAGCTCTGCTACCGGCTTCTCAAGGTGCACTGCGAGTTCCGAAGCCTTCATGGTTCGTCCGTTAATAAACAACACATGTAACGATAGCATGGATTGCGCACTATATCTTTCAGCTCCTTCCAACTCAGAGAGCGGTCCGCATTCAAAGCAAGCAGCATCAACGGGTCGTCGTCTTTATCCGTGAACCCTTCCGCCTCATCCGAAGCCGGGCTCTCCAATGGCACAACGAGAAGATGTCCAAGCTTTAACTTTCGCGTTGAGTTTGAATAGCAAGAAAGATGCCAACGAAAATACCTCACTGTCGAGCTGACCTGCGCCTTCCTCTCTGCTCTCTTGCCAAAGTTCACCGCCCAACCCTACAATCACGCGAACTTCATCTTTCGAGACGTATGGGCCTGCGGCGTACGAGACCAGCTGGCCTTCTGGGGTAAAGAGAACGGCGGCGAACAGGGACGGGGAGATGACTTGAGATAAGAGTTTTCTAAGGTTGCTGAGGTTGAGCATGGTGTTGGTCGATAGTTGAGGGTTGTGTCGCGTGCAAGACGCGTCTGATGACGGGCGTCTCATAGACAGTCCGCTTTTCTTCTCAACTTTCATGAGCTGTCATATCGACTTTTTGTGACGACCAGTATGTATCCCACGAGGT